AATTTTCAGCTGTAAATAAATGCTATTTATGTTCAACACAACAACAGCAAAAATCTACCACATTTGGCAACAGTCTTTATTCAAAATTCTACGTGTCATCAAATGATTCATGCAGTTTTCGCTTCAAATATACATACATACGGAGCTTCTTACACGCATACATAGATCTATGTATGTGTAATATATAAATATATATATGTTTTTTCTGCAATTGTTTCGTATTTTATATGACTTTCTCTCTTTCTACCACTTTGCTGTACTCTTCACATTTCTATTAACATCAAATTGCTTAAACATTTTTAATATATATTTATGAACATACAAACATATTCTCATTTCTTTGAATTGTATAAAATAAATGGTCTACTCGTTTTTTATTTAATTTTTATATTATTTGTTTTTGCTCTTCATTCTGTTCATGAATGACAAAAAAAAAATAAATCATTGTATCAAACAAAAACAACGCAATTGCAATTCTTTCATAATTGATTGTGATTACTTGTGATGTACGTACATATACTCGTGTTTGATGTAGTTTTGCCAACACGCACCAGGACATCATGTAAGTTTACATACAAACATGCAGTGTTTCAAGAGAAATGTTAATTGTTGAATGTTTGTGTTTAGCCAAACTATTTGTATAACTTTTCGTCCTTACAAAGGATTTTCATTGCAAACTTTATGAAGCATGTTTTATTCTAAGTAGAAAGCGTATCAGCAACGTGGCATGCAATTTCATCTATAAATACATACCTACATATACATATCGTCACCTGAAATGCAAAATAACGCAACAACATTTTCAGAAATTTACAGTGATATGAATGAAACACGAAATAAAATGGAACATGAGTGAAAAAAAAAATGGCAATTGGTTAAAAATGGTTTATATTGTATGTCATTTTATGTATGTAATTTGATGTAGTGAAACGTAATCAATAAGACACCCAATTTTTTGATGATACGTTATTTTGCATTTCAGGTGACGATATACAGTTATGTACAAGTAATTTTGAAAATGTTATTGTTTCCATGATTTTAGAAGAATAACTTTATATTCACTTTGAATAAACTTTCATCAGTTGTATATTTCCATACCATTTTCCAAGCCATTCATGAAATTGTATACTCAGAGAATGACATAGCGTAAAATTTCTTTGATATAGATACATTCAAATAAGAACAATGGAAGCGGCAACGCCAATTTTTCTTTTTCTCAAAAACTTCAAACTAATTTCGCTCATGGTCTTACAAGGTTCGTTCCAAAGTAAAAAGGGCTTTTTGAATCTAGCGCCCCCTTGGTGGTCGACTGAAGCGTTAGAATTTGCTATCTTTATCGATTGTCCAGTGGGAATTTCATGGCATTTCATTAATTGGAAGTGAAATTATTGCGTTTTGAGTGTCAGTATGTTTCTGTTATCAGTGCGAAAATGAGCTTCGAGCAAAGAGCCAACGTTAAATTTTGTTTTAAAATTGGTAAAACTTTTACCTAACCTTTTTAATTGATGAATGATGTTTATAGTGAGGATTGCCTATCCCGTAGCAGAGTGGATGAGTGGTTTTTTTTCGACATGCTTTTGGACCATGCAAAAAGATGTATTGCATCAGAAGGAGACTATTGTGAATAAAATAAATTGATTTTGCAAAAAACCATTTGTTCTGTATTCTTTTTTTTTAGGTTTGTTTACTTTGGAACGCACCTTGTATAAGAGTTTGAATCACTATCACAATATAATTTTTGAACTCAAATTCATATTCCGTACACCTCGTACAGACCTCTTACCACGTTAGTCGCAAATTTTTCCGTCAGATTTGTTGATTAGTATTATTATCCAAAAATTATCCAAGCTTCAAAAGTAAAACATAGTGAAAAAAGTAAAAAAAAAAAGGTTACAGAATAATATTTTTTTTTTTTTTAGTTTACAATCCAAAAACTGCTGACAAAAGTCAAAACATAGAAATTTCCAAAATAAGCAGATGATGAAGGGGGGTCGCGTTACCATACTATCTGAACTAAATCTGAACTAAATTATATGTAATAATAAAGATATATTTAATAATGTCACAAATCTAGTTCCCTAAAGAGATAAGTCTATAAAGAAAACTCTCCAAATTTATTTATTTATATATTTAGTTAAGTCTATGAACACTAATTCTTACAGACTAATGGAGAATTAGGATGCAAATTATAATTCTAAAATAATTAAATTAATTACTAATTCGATAACTTAAACTAAGAAACAGAATTGAGGGTATTAATGAAGGATACCCTAGAGTGAGAAAATTCAAGAAGAACTTTCTCGAAAATAGAGTTAAACTCACGCATAGCACGCTTAAGAGGAGCATATTCAGCAAAGTTAGTAGTTTCCTTTTTACAATAAAATGGGGAAATGGATCTGAGACAACGTTGAGGAGTATTGATGGACATATTCTTGAATAGTTAAACTTTGAAAATATAAAAAAAAAGATTTTTTCCTAGACCAGAAAAAAAAAATTTTAGAAATTTTTCAGAATCATTAGGGGACTCACAACTTGTCATAATGCATTCTAAAATCATAAGATTATAAATTTATACACTTGTTTACAAAACTTGTTGCGGGATTACATACAAAAATGAGTTTAAACAATTACAAATCTCCACGCTATGTTTTTGATTCGTTGTAATTTATAATTATAAACTGAAACTGACTGAATCTCTTTGAGACCCCTAACTATATTTAAAACCATTCCCTTTAATTCGTAAATGAAATATTTAAATGATAACAGGGCATATGAGCAATATTAGTGTTGAGTTCTTAAAACTATAAAATACTATTTCTCTCCAATTATTTGTTATTAAATGCATAGTTATTTCAAATTACTAATAATTTATATGTATATACTCATATATTTATTACGTTAACTTGTGAATATGTCAACTAAACGTTAAATATGTACCATTCATAGTTTAGATACAAAATTGGGTTATACTTTCTTATAATATAATTTCCCACCCTTAATAATTTTTATATATATATACAAGATATCTTCTGAATATTCCATATATGTATGGTGTTATTTTACTTTTCGTTTTTGTTATGAATGCACCACTGAATTCCTCAATGTTTTGTGATTGTTTCCTAAATATCGACGCGTTTAGCTTTTAGCCTTCCTATACTTATCACAAATAAATCTTTTTAATAATCATAAATTGTATTCTACTCGCGCATCAGGAATCGAAAGAAGCTTGCAAGGTAATAATTTGATATTTAGAAAATGGGGCGCCCTTGTTTCTAAAAACTTTTGGTGGTAAACAAAATAACTTCAGAATAGTAATTTGGAATTATTACACAATGCAAATCGTGGCATCATATGTATATAGCCATAGTTGAGAAGGGTTTCCAAACCTCTTACGGAAGTCATAAAAAGATTAATAATATTGTTTGGTGCCCTATCGAAAGTGAAAGATCAAAAACAGCATTTTTGGCATATTTTTCTGTTTTACTACCAAAAGACTAAAAATATAGTTAAAGCAAGACAATAATTACGTGATAGTCGAAGGCCGATATTTATCAAAATAAGGGGAGTTGAAAGGGATCGTTAATTTCCAGCTTTGGTCCAGACTTGGCACTTTAAGACTTCTGCAAAATTTGTTTTAGGGTAAAACCTTCACCACAAATCAAATTGTCAAAAACCATTTGGACCAGGTTTTTGTCGGCACGGATGAAATATTTTAAGAGCGCAGAATCAACTTTTGCCCGAAAAATGTCAAAAAGTATTGGATAAAAAACAAATATACATTTTAATATAAACAAAATTGCTTAGTAAACGACACAAACAAAATACTTGTGGTTAGAAAAATAAGAACAGAATACTGTCCGAGCCGCCTATATTTCAAATTTGCGATATTTTAAACTGATAGAATTATATTTAGATATAATATCAATATCGGAAAAAGACAAAATTGAATTTCATTGCTGCTTTGTGTATTCTTAAACATCCATAATTCTATTTCCAAACCATGCTATTCAGTTATTGAATTCTCAATAAATTTGTTTACACTCAAATTGCAACAAACTTTTTGAAGTTATTAAAGCATACAAGGGCCCTTTTAACTTTGCTACAACATCATTTAACGACTTTCCCAAATATTTATATTACAAAAACACTATTCTCCCTATTCACTACGAAAACAAACAGTCCTTCGAAAAAGTACTCGTACAAAATATACAATTCGGCTTGTCACCGCCGCTCACCAAAGCGCTGGGCGACATACCACGTTGGCGTCTACTGCAGGCGGCGTTGCCACATGTTATGCACTGTGTTGCCGCCTTACTGCACAATCGCGTCAAAGATATGCAGGCGATTGGTCCCGTAGAAACCAAGCTACTATACACAATGCAATGGATATTGCTGTATGCCGCCGAGGAATGTGCCGACGATGAGGGTGGTAATGAAGTTTTAGGCGATGAAACACCGAAGCAAAAGTCGATGGAACAGTATTTATTTTCGGTACCCACAATAACGGTATAACAATTTAATCAAAGGGTGAATACACACTTATATAAATTTATTTTACAACGTTCAGCTCTTCGTCTACTTGTTTGCGCCCATTATACATCACTTGAAAGAGTCCGATTTTCAGAACTTTCGTTTGGAAAATGGCATTAAGTTGTGGCAGGGTATGTGGGATAATCGTGCACCAGGCGCGCCATGTTTTACGGCACCTGTAAAGCCGAAAGCGCGTAATTTGCTATGCGCACCGTCACCAAAGGGCTCCACAGATGTCTTTCCAGGGCGTAAGTGTAAAATATAAATAGAAATATATATAAAGACAATAACTTATAAACAAACTAGGTAAGCAATCATCTAATGTTGATGAAGCCACATCGCCGAAACCTGAATCGCCGCAAAGCCAGCAGTCTGAGCATACGAGGCAAGACGAAGATGTAAGCTCTCGAAGAAACTTTTTTATAATAAGCATATATTAATGTATTTCATGCGTTTCACAGAATTCATGGGTTTCATCGCCAAAAGAATTTGCTTTTCCCGAGACCATACCAGAAGAGGCGTCAAGCGTGGAGGATGAACGTGTTGTAATATTTCGTTTACCCTCTGCACCACATCTCATGGATAATTCGTTCTTCACGGTAAGACTCGCTTCACAACAGGTTTTCGGACTTATAAAGTTGTCCCATGTCTCTCACAGGCCGACGCGAGCTTGTTGCAGCAACAGCAATCGCAAAGTCGACGCGGCAGCCGACAGTCGGTACACTCACGAGACAAAGACAAGCCGGCAACGAAATTCGAATTCGACCAGCAAGAGTTAATGCGTGGCGCTTCGGTTAAGGAAAAACGTAGTTCTTCGATGGAAAAAGAGACCGAGTCGGACAAATCAGACAGCATGCACGTAGACGTATCGGCCGCCACCTTTCTAGATGTGGCCGTACTGCGTTGTCTCTTCATTTCACACTGGCAGGAGGAGGGAATATTCTGGAGCTTGCAGTACATGTACAATCGGTATGTTAATGAGTATAACGCTTAAATTTTAAATTTTAACTAAAATGTTTGTGTACAATGTAGTCTAAGTGAAATCGGCGAAGAGGCCTCTATTACGTTGAATCAACCACGTAAACGCTCTAATTCGCTACCCATACCACAAATCGAGATTTCATTATACCAAGGACCGGGTAGCAATAGTCGTGACAGCCCGAGCAGTTCGGTAGCCAAGGACTATATTGAAATACCAGAACCGTCCATAACAGCGTGCTTAGTTGGTACATAGAAAATCAACTTATAACTGTACAATTGACTGATCTACTGTCCATTTGCGGTTTCTTTTATTGCAGAAGAGTCCAGCCCAACAGTGGAACGCCGCGGTAGTGAGAAGAAGAAACGCGTCAAAATGGCGGATTTGCGCGCATTCGTCGAAACGAAAATGTTCTCGAAATCCGAGAAGAATCTTGAAAAAGTAGGCCTAGATACATGCTCTGCTAATGGCAAGAGACCACTGCAACATGCAGTAAGATTGAACTTTGAAGTTTTTGGTTTTGTTGTTTTGCGTTTTGATTTCAATGTTTCAATGTTAAATACCCTAGATTTATTTGTTTTTAACCATCAATATTATGCCACAATATACTTTATTAAATAAGCTGCTTAAGAAATATGCGCACTATTTATTTGTAATTAAAGATGATCCCACTGCCCCTTATCTTAAGCTCTACCTACACCTGTTAAAAATTATCACCAATGTGTCTATTTTGCTTATATTATTGTTATATAACATTTACTGAAATACTCGTGTATTGAAAGTTCAATTACTTTTGCTAAATGGTCATATATAACTACACTCAATGAAATTGTTGTTTAACTAACTGAGGTTTGCGCTTCCCGCTAGGAATATCATCGCAGTCTGGACACCGGTGAGAAAAAGCTCTCACGCTCGGCTTCTATGATCACTAGAGAACCGGCGAGTAATCTCATCAAAGGCAAATCGATGCCAAGTTTAAGGTAACCTTCCAGTCACGCATGATGTTTTGCTATCTCGAAACTTTATTCAAGCTTAAAAGCATTTATTTAAAATAATCAGTAGCTTAAAACATTATAACCAGCGAAAATATAGTAGGAAACACAAGACATCAATACATATTTACATTTCTTTATTGGAAAGCGTTATGAACTTCTAAATTAAAGCTGTGGTAAAGAATAGTTATCATTTTAATACTCGACTGTTACTGTTGTAAAAGCTTCAGCTGAGCTTTCGCTGAAAATCCCGACATTCCAACAATGACTACATTTATTTAATGCTTGATTCTTGGGTACGTAAAGTTTACTCTTCCAAATTAGCAACTATCGTTGGAATAAATTCAAAAGCAAGTCTATTTGCCAATCAGAAATTGGTTCTATATTTCAGTTATAAAGGGTGATCCATTTCGAAGTCGAAGTACAAGACCTGAATCGAAGCTTTACATATTATATTATCACAGGAAAAAGTCTAAAGGTGTGATGTCACACGATCTTGGCGGCCAATCGACCGGCCCAAACCTTGAAATTATCGGCTTACAAAAATGCACACTCAATAAATCGATTGATTGATGCGATGGGTGGGAAGTGGCGCCGTTTTGTTGAAACCAAACGTTGCCGAGGACGAGCTTCAATTTCAGGTATCAAAGAGTCGGTTAACATGAGGCGATAACGGTTACCATTGACGCGTACGTTCTCAACGGAATAATTTTTGAAGAAACCGTTGTTTTTTTTCTAGATTAATTTGCAGCTCTTGAATCTTTTCATTTGCTCTTCGTCCCAAATGTGGCAATTTTGCTTGTTTACATACCCATTGAGCAAGAAATGGGTCCCATCGTTAAACAAAATTTGGCTCGAAAACGTCGGATATTCTTAGAACTTTTCAAGAGATCATTAAGCGAAGCATTTGAGAAGGTCGACGGGTTCAGTTCTTACACAAGCTGCATTTCGCACGCTTTCAATTTAAGATCTCGACGTAAAATGGGCCAAATCGTTACATACGTTAGTCCGAGTTGCTTCGAATCTTATCTTATCTGCAACTTTTTTATATATATTTTAGAAAAAATAGTTAATATTCTTTTAGTTGTCGTAATTTTCGGATAAAATTATTTCTACGATAGTCGAAAGTTTTTCTGTCATAATTAGTATTCTATATTTATTTTCTTACATAGTCTAATATCGTATTTTAAGAAATACTAAATTTTTTGCTTCCTTCCAAGTCAAAACATAAAATTAAATCTGATTTTTACGAAAATTTCAAACTTCATCGTGAGCATCTTTAAATTTCAGTCAGAAGTGCTTTCAGATAATATTTTCAAAATTTATAGATTTATAAATTTAACGAAACGATTAATATCGATATTAGTTTTCAGTTTAAATTTTCAATATTCAAAGCAATTTCTTCTTAGGTGTTTTCAACTGAGTTCAATCATTAGCAAGCTTGTAAGTTTTCCGCGCTAGGAAACTCAGACCAAACAAGCCTAAGATTTTTTGTTTGAAGGTTTAACTATGTAGGAAATCGAATAAATTTAAATATAAATACTAAAATTTTTCACCGTTCAGTTATCACCTTCCTCAAAACCAGAACCCGTTAAATTTGCATTGCATCCCAAAAGCATTTTGCATATTTACAATTCATCTGCTAAACTATTTGCTTTTATTATTCAATTCTGATACTTTCGCACCTAATCGATGATTACTTTCCTCTAATTGATTAATTGTAGCTATCAAACGTCTGAAAAACACGTTCATATCTTATGTGAACGCCGTAAGTCAGAAGGCTCTGCGCTTCTAACACGGATGAAAAACACTTGCAATACCACAACTCTACAAAAACTGTTAGTGCTGATAGTTTCAAGTTCTTTTCGATTAAAATTTACAATTTTTTTAAATTATTAACATTAGCACATTTTTTCTAAACAAATAATTCATAGAATTTTACCCAGTTTTGTCCCGCAATCCCTACCAAAACAAAAGAATAGCGTTTCGAAAATTTTGCCCACTTATAAACACCCGTAGTTGAGCTTAATCAAACATAATATTCCTATAAATTTATTTTTCAAGACTTTTTAGAATTTAAAACTTTTTAAATACAAATATTTTTAATAAATTTTAAACATTATATTAAGCGAGTATTCACTTTTTTATACTTCGTACAAAAACATTTTTGTATTCACATGTAAATATTTACAAACATATATGATTATAGGTTATGTTCGTATATATATCTTTCAATATTAAACTTTATAAACAGATTTTACACAATTCCAACACAAAAATATGCAAAAATGAAGAAAAAATCGAAAATACTACTATGAGCAAAAAATAATAAGACTTTGTTCACAATTTTAAAATTCTTAATTTATGCAACAAAATCTATGTCGGCACCTCAAAGTAAATTTGGTCTCTATACACTTGTTCAATCCACGATTAAAGTCAATTTCCGGAATAACCTTCAATGCGAGTAGCGATTCACTTGGCCAGTCGGAAGGAATTCGATGTGCACGACAGCTCAATAATCGAAGAAAACTCCAATATAACCTTGATTTATACTGCTTTGTAGTAGTTTTTCGGCCTCGACTTACCTTTGCCACGATATTAGTTGATGCGGAGTCGTAAAATCCATGACTTATCGCCGAATATACTTTATGTACTTCATAATGAATTTAATAATTATTTTGCTGTGACATTTGGCACAGGAGAGGAAAATTTAAATTATAAAGTCTTACTATTATTTGCCCTCAGTAGCATACCCGCATTCGACCAACCAGTAGCGGCACTTTCTAAACACAGAACTCACCAAATAACAACAAACCAATACGTAGTTCTATGTAAATCCAAAACTGTTTTATTACTATTTCTTACTAAAACTTTGCACTCTTCTCTCAACCTAAAAATATCCAAAGCTGTCTTCTTGATAGCGGGTGAGTCCTCTCTAAACAGTGACATTATTTTACATTGAGTTTGGGTTTGCTTTTTAAGAGTTCCAAATAATATTACTACTTTCTGAAATTCACATTAGATTTTTTTCTGTAGAACGACATTTCATAAAACACAAAATATTCGGAAGGTTTCGAATATGTATACCCAACACTTAAATTTATTTCGAAAGCATGTTAGAAAGCGTTACGTAAGGTCGCTTAGACAAAATTACTGAGCTACGGATTGGAGAACAACCTGGAAATAAGAGTCCCATTTGTTTAAGAACTCTTCGTATAAATGTATCTATAACTCTTAGATTAAAAATTACTGACTTCCTAGTTGGATTACTGCCTGAAAATGTGAGTTTTACTTGCTTTGAGACTATTCAAATTTCTGTAATACCGCTCTATGGATCTCAGATTACAATTTATTTGTTGTTAGCTTCTAGATCATCTCTCGCTACCCCTAACATTCATAATCCTATCACCTAATCGATCAACTCGGTTCGGAAATATTTAGAAATAAATATAAGTGTTTGGTGATGGAACTATTTTCTAATAACTAACACCGCCTTACCAGGAAATTGAGAATCTCCGAGCGAATATTTGATATTATAAAATCCATTAGTCGTTCGGAGTGCGCTTGAGCCTTAACATTTTCCTTTCATTTGTTAGCTTACGGCAAGGTTCTCATAATAAGTAAAAGAATCCCGAGCAAGCATCTCGAGATTCCAGGTGACTAAAGTTCGAATGTAACAACAGTAATATTACAATGATACCAAATCAATCATAGGTATTTCAATCACATACCCTTTCACCATCGCCAGTTGCTTCGCTTGATTTTAGATCAGTTATAAAATCGTACCAAATATGGAAACATTTATGAGTTTTAAAAGTCCCCCTTGATCGAGTTATATTCAAAATGAGTTCGCGAAATTAAATGATTCACCTTATTAACTACGTCGATATAAAAGACTTTTGAATCTAGAGACTGCCCCTTAGATGACCAAATTCAACGTAGACGGAGTTTAACTGGATTTTGGCGCAGCTTCCTCGGACGATGGGTTAATAATCTATAAGTCGTTTTCTAACATATATTATCACTGCTTCTACACTATATGTAGAAAGCGATTTATAAAGTTATTATTATTATGTTCATCTTGAAAAGACCTTCCATCCTAAATAGGATTATAAGACGTAGTTCATGATGGATTCAAAACACGAATTTATCTGCAAAAGATAACATGTCACAGTTCATCACGATACCCATCCGTCTGGCTGCTTTACCCAATCTAGGGTAACCTGAACTAAGACCCGACTGGTGAATTCGATTAAACTGCTGATATTATTCTACATTTGTAGTCAGTTTATTTCTGTTTTTTTTTTTTTTATTTATTTATACATCCAGTACTATTTTCTTCAAATACAACTAAAGAGCAAGCATAAAGATGCATCGTTCCAATGCTTTCCTTATTAAATGGCTCGTAGATGTGTTTTCCGGTATTTTAAGAGTTAAAGTTTTTCATGGTCACCGAATTCAAAGATAGCGACGTAAAGACACAAAATATATGTTGATGTTGCTGTTGTTGTAGCGGCAGAACTGTGTCCTTTATCAGATAAAAATCCGAGTCCGTTCCGATTACTAGACCCAATTGTCGTGGGAGCGACACAAAATATATAGTAGGTGTCGGTTATTCTTGACATGATCTTTCTTAAGGATCTGAAATATATATTCAATGATTTGTATTTTCATATCTCAATCCACGTTATTCAATCTTGTTAGAAGTAAAGTATAGACAACTTTCTTACAAAATTGGCTACCATACTCCGATTAGTGTTGGGTATAAGAACAATGTTCTATCATCTTTCTAAACCTCAATCAACTAACTCATTTCTCAGCACTTTAAGTGTTACTGTTTCTCATATATATTCACCGTTATTTTGGCAACATTCTAAAATAGCTTATATTTATTTTGTTAGCATTTTTGCAAGCGTTAACCCTAATTTGCGCTTTAAATCACATCTTTTTTAGCCCACAAAAAACTTTAGACTATATATTTTAGCCGTTAACCACCTGTTTGCTCATCCTCACTCATACATACCCATAGCCATATTTAGTTCCAAATTGACTGGACTTTTATGCAGTTATCGCCGCCGCACTGCCGCACATCACGTCATCACAACTAATTGCGCCCATTTTGCATTTGTTCAAAATTACCAGATTTTACAGGTACGTAGAGCCACCGAAAGCGATGCGTCCCTCCCAGTCGACCGGACCACGTACGGCCTTCTATCCGCGCAATCCCATAATCACCGTCACGGAACACACGCCCACACCGTCGCCAGATTATCTCAAACGCCAGGTGAGTAAACGCCGGAAATTCGTGTTAGAGTATGTTTTCCGGATACCTAATTGGTTAACATACATGCACTACAAACTCGTATTATTTCTATTTGCCCATGCAATCAATCACTTTTCATATTCAACTCTTCACCCCAAGCAGGGCTCCATCGATTCACAGTTGGACGCGCTAAGCAATGGTGGCAGCATTAGTGGTATGGCGGGCGGCACCAGTGGCAGCGGTGGCGGTATTGCTGGCGCTGGTGTCACAACCGGTCGTTTCCGCGGTCAAATGCTACGTTCGCACACCGACTCGCACATCGATTATACTGGCGTGGAGTCGGAAGCACCTGGCAGCTCATTCTATATAACACGCGATGGCGGCATCGATTATGAAATTGTTTTGTTGGCGGTTTATAATATCTTCAAGCGAGACATGTCCATTTGTTCGCAGCGTGTACTCGAAGCGGGTTTGAATATTTGCGAATTGCTACTGGAAATGGGCGTGTTGAAGTTGGGCGAGCATGCGCACGAGATATCGATGGGCATTGTAAAGCGTGCGCTACTAATTTTGGGTTGCCACAATGGCTGCAATGATGGTGCGTACAAATGCGCCAACCTTTTATAAAGTAATACAATATATATTTAATATTTTCGTTATCACAGGCGCACGCGGTCCGCCGGCAGATTTCCTGCGCAGCCAGTGCCAAAAGATACTCTCGCGCATACTACGCCAGGCTAGCCAACGCACCAAGCGTTACTTGCAGCAAATGGTAAAAACGTCCGACTTGCATGAATTGGTGGACTTCTTTCACGCCTTTGTGGCATTTTGCGTGGATCCAAGCTCATTGTTGTCGCCGCTGAGTGAGTTTTTCTTGATCTTACTAGCTCCTAAAATAGCTTTAGATGCATGTTTTAATCACCCTATATTTAATTACCTTAAGTAGTGGTCAGAAAAAAGCTGTCTTAGAAAATTATTCATATTTTTTGGACGAAATTAAAGAAGGAAAGAGCAAATAATTTCTTTTACCTTGGATCTTAAGTCGCTCACATTAAGTTTTTTCCTCCGAAATGTTCTTTGCCATATTTTATTTTTTCAAACCCTCAATCTTGAATATGCTTCAAGAGCCATGTTTCTTAACTTTAAACACTTTCTTTATCTGAATTCTACAATATTTTGATATTTCTCATCGGTTTTCGACTGGTTAGTAAATTCTTAAAGAAATATTTTCCTATCAGATATGTAATCCTATATTTATTCAATCGCCTTCGCTTAGCTTAGGAGTAAATCGTTAGTTGCGTAAGACTTAAGATGTCAGAAGACTCTAAATCGATTTCTTATTCACCTCCACTTCACTGAGGAATTTTTGAGGAAACTCTGTTGATATCATAAATGTTCTTAGAGACTACTCTTCTCGCTACTCTTTCGCTGATATCCGATGCCAATTTCAATAGTTTCCGCTGATCTTATTACCAACTTAAAGATTTTTTATTCGGTTTCGATGATTTGAGGAGCTTGTAAAGAAAGCTTTTGATATCTTATGTAGGATCTGAAGAACATTATGTTATTTTATTCGGTTCCGATGAACTTTTACATTTTCCTCAGCTTAGATGAGTTTTAGCGAAGTATTGGTCTCATTACTGTAAATGATCTGATGAGCTTTAAGAAAACTTTTGATATTGTAATTCTGCTCGAAGATTTTCCGCAGACATCGAAAGATGCATTAGATATAAGAAAGACAGCTCTTTTTTAACTACATTAGTATATCTCGATAAGTCAAGTTTTTCTCAAATTTACATTCTGCTTTTGGATGATCTAAAATTCAATTATTTAAAGATTTTATCAACACAACAACATTTCATAGAAAAAAATAAAGCAAACCAACACACGAGTACGAGTTTGTGCTCTCTTACTATAATATTTACTTATGTATACCCTTGGTGCAAGCGTGCTCGGTATCTCTCCCCCGACGAATTTGCATGGCCAGTAAAATGTTGAATGATGTTGTTGCTTTTTTCCTTAACGTTTTTTATGACTTCCTTTTTGTTGTGACTTTTTGTGGATAATGCCATCCAATCCCTTGTTGTTGTTGCTGTTTTTTTGTTCATCACGCTCCCTCTGTGAGAAATATGTACACACACCAAATCTCTTCGTTGTATACTCGTATGTATGTATAAATGAATATAATAGCACATAAGCGTACGGGTGGATTTAAAAATGTTAACACCGATACGTCCCCATCAGGCGGCCAAGGTGGCTACTCGACCAATTTCAGTGGCGGCTTGAGTGGCGGTCCGGAATCACAAGTGATTGCAGCTGTCTTCAAACCGCTCGTGACACGTTTCGTAGAGGCAACAAAGGATCTCAAGTCACCAGAAAGCTCGCCACTCTACAGCGATATACGACAGTTGGTTACTTATGTGAAGGGTGCACATGGCGGACCATTCCGATTGGTGGCGCTAAGTGGCATATTAGCTGTGACGCCGCGACCGCATAAGAAGGGACCCGTGGCACAAACAACGCGTGTCATAAGGTAGCAAGGTGACAATGTTCACTCAGAGATCTTATTAAATTTATCTCATATTCCTTACAGACACATACCGCAGGCGGAAGGAGCTCAAAGCATACCAAACGATGATAACCGCTCACAACGTCGTCTCTTACTTAAAAAGCGCAGTACATCATCAGCTTGTGCTGTGGTAAGCTTTATATAGACTTAAGAACATATCTGAATATTGTGTTCCCTTACAGAGCCTATTGGAAACGGAGCCGTGTGAGGAGCATTACAAAAGCAGTCAATCGCCATTGAGTAATTTCCGCCGTCGCACCACAGGTGTGCGACCCACGCTTACACCGCGTCACAGCGAGCGTGCATTGCTCTCTGACTCCACTTCGAGCTCGGAGCGTAATTCGCTTGGTCGCTTGAGTGGTTTGGTGCGTTGGTTTCGCAGCACACCGAAGGAGGCTTCATCTATCGATTTAGAAATTGGTTCACTCAATCCGGAAATTACTTCTACTTTCATACGGCACGCCTCGTTGAAGATACAACGTGGGCGCACCAGTGACGGCATTGGCCGCTCAATACAACGCGCTAAGCGGCGTGTAGAACGGCGTTTAAATCGTTTTGGCGGTATCGTTAAGGGTAAGAAGAAAGCGGGCGGTATTGAGGAAACCGCCGACTATAGTCGACGTAGCTCTTCAGATATGTGTGATGGGCCACGTGAGTCGGAAGTAGTAGTTTTAAAGGAGAGAAAATTGATACCGCTAGAACCAGTACGTATGGGTATGCTGCGTTTATCGTTTTTGCTTGAGACCTGTGCGCCTGGTTCGTTTCCAGATCCACAGCTTATTGCCGCCGTTTTGGATTTGGTGAGTGCTTGAAACCGTAAAAATTGATAAATCTTTCATTTCATGTATGTCTCTAGCCGCAAGCGCCACTTGTTGCGCGTGCCACCTTTCTGCTTGAATGTGCGCATTTCGTACATCAATGCAACAAAGGGCAATGGCCGCCTTGGATGAAACACAATCTTAGCGGCTATAGGCCATCGGGCACCAACCTCAATCTGAATCAGACCAAACATCAGGCCACAGCGACTAGCACGCGGCGTACACATATTTTACAGCGCGCAGCGGGCAAAATGTTTCATCAGGTAAGGCGTAATAAGTGAAGAAAGCTGAATTAAAAAAGAATCAAGAATTGTTTTTTGAAAAAGTGGGCCGAGATGCTCGGCGCTCGTCTTGAAGAGATCATCTTCACGGAACGTTTACAATTTGAAGCGGTAAATGCAACGCTGACCGATCCGGAACGTCAGCGTGAATTGCTTCAACAGGACGAAGAAGAGGACTTCCTCGACGAGGCCTCTGTAAATCCGCATGGCAACGATTGTCCGCACGCTTTAAAATTAATTGCGTGTGTATTGCTCTTCGAAATCACTTCATTCCTACGCGACACTTATGTAACGCTGCCAAAAGCGTCGAAGTTACTGCATCGTGAGAAACATGCGCCCTGGGAAAAGGTTTATCGCGAGGCCAACCGTCGTTGGTCGATGGCGTTGAGTTCTATGGGTCACTCACAAACGTCAGCACAGAGCTTGCAATCCATTGCAGCAGGTAATGATGCAGCTGGTAAGCCAATGAAAGTCAAATACATGTTACTCCATTCTTATATATATCTTACTTTTCAGGTGGTCAAACGGAGCGTAAGATATCTTTTGTATTGCACGAACCCGACAATGAGTCAGAAAATAGTAGCAACACTACACTGACAAAAGAAGGTGAAGAAGGTACCAGCGTTAAGTGGTTACTGCTTTGATATTCTATTCACCTCTCATTATTGCTATTTTCAGCTCGACGACCCGCAGCTTCGGCGGTGCGACCTTTTCTTTTGCGTCGTGGCACAGCGACTACCACCGGCGGCTCATTTAAGCGCCGGTCATTAAAATTGCGGCGTAACACGAAGGATGGCAAGGATTTGGAAACTGATTGTAAGTATTGGATCTCGAGAATGATGAAGATGACCGTTAAAATTCTTCGAATGGTTAATTGTTTTTAATGTGTTTCGTATGAGCCGTGATTGTAAAGGGTTCTATCTAGACTTTTAACTAAATATCTTTTTGAAGCTGATAGAAATTTGATGTATAAGGTTTGGATCATCGTTATGAAACGACAGAGCCTCAGAAATTTCAAAAGTCATTATTTCTTTAACTGTCGGGGTCAGACCATATCATAAATTAGAAATGTCTTCAAACTTTTCACTACTGCTAAACTTAAACTTGTATAAACTTCTCTTCAAACAATTATAATTTTTTTTTTTCAGTCAAACGCGTCGACTCCATACAGTCTCGTCGCAAAGTTTCATCACTCTCTGATCGCAGTGACACTTCAGAACAGGGTATGGTCAGTGGAGAGGAATCTCCTGGCATACTGAGTGATGATCAACAACCCGAATCGCCAACAGACTCAAACGAGACCGATGATACGGCCAAAAATATGCCTTGGCTAAAGGCAGTTATAGACCTAATCACCAGCTACAACTACTATTGTTCGCATAAAGGCTATTGCCATCCCTATTGTTATAAGCGGCATATGCGCTCCTGCACGCGATTGATGAAAGCAACGCGCAAGGTAAACAAAATAAATACGACAAAACATACTTTTAATAAACATAATAAATTTCAATTAAGATCTATGGCGAAGACTTCGGTTTCACTTTCGATTACGAACATCCCACTGTGGAACCGACCGCACCCGTAAGCGCCACTAGTAAGTCCCATCAAGCACGACCACGTTCTACACGTAAAGTATCCGAGCAGAGTTCTACACATACGTCACCTTCAAAACGTAAGGACAGTATCTCACGCCGCGATCGGTAAATAGCAAAACAAAAGGTTGAATGCCAATTTTGTAAAAACTACATTTTCTGCAGCATAAGCGACGACCCCGATTTAGAGATCGCCGAGAAGCTAGCGGACGCCTTTCATCAGGAGAAAGAGATGAAGGAGCAAGACGAACCGGCCATACTGAAGTATCAACGGTTCTATATACGCACATTATTCCATTATCCGTTCGCAACCATGCTCAAAGGAGCTGTCATACTCACCGAGGAAATGGTTATTGAGGCAATGCCTGCCGCTTGGGAGCTCTTGCTCGATTCAAATCAAGATACCGCTTCAGCGAGCGCTGCTGTCTTTTTAATGGGTTCAGTGAAGGCGCAAAATTTCGCCTTTGACATAATGCAACGCGCTCTGAAGAGCAAGGATCCAGATGTGCGCATCGGCGCTGTACAACGGTAAATATTACTTTAGCTCATGGATAAAGTTATTCATATAAGCGGTGTTTGATTTGTAGATATCTGGTGCTGTGGAAGAGTCGTTTTCATGTTTGGCCGCGCATGGAGGAGAATGCCCATGATCTTACTTTCAAGGTACCGCCGGGCGGCATTGAGTTTACGCTGCCTTCACCAAAAATAGGCATCGAAAGCTTACCAGTCGTCGATCCACCTTGGATGCCTGTACAGCAAACCAAGGATATGGATGTCACACTTAATCAGGACCGACACGTGAGTAAAGAAATTTTTTATCAGTCACATTAAAACCTATATGTGTTGTATGAACGTATTCGTTAGCGTTCGCTGGTAACGGCAACAAAGAGTCGCAAAATGCAACAGACGGAAGCTATAAGGAACGCTTTGCGCCAACAACGCGACAAGCAGCGCGCCGAGCGTCATAGCTTCCTCATCACCACCATACCGATCAGTCAGCAGGCTTCGCATGAACCCGGCATGGAGCATGAGGATCACGAGGGTGAAGAGGATTTGGATGGCACGCGCATACATTTACATCACGCACATTCACTATTCCCATCCGTACTTTGCTCATCGGTTATGCAGATTGTGGGTTGTTTGGATGACGCCGCCATTGGCACCGATGGCAATGCCGTTTATGAAATTGCCTATCAGGTTTGATTGAAAATCTAAATAACTGCTTCAAGACGTAACATTTACATTCTCTTATATTAAATTAGGCCATTTGGGTTTGTCTCGTCGAAGAGTCCGCGCTCTTTCTGCGCTATGTATTTGAGCGTCTAACACGCGATCGTCAAGACCAAATGTTTAAATTACTGCGACATTTAATACGTTTTGTACCACGCTTGCCGCAACAGGCCGCCTTTGCTTTGTATAACTCAATCATCGGTTATATAATGTTCTATGTACGTTCATCGAATGAGCACAAACAGGAGCTTGTCGGTTCGGCCCTCTCGGTACTATGGATGGTGGTTCACAGCGTGCATGGCATTATGTTTAAGGATCTCAAGCAAATTCTACGCAAGGAGCAGTGTGATGCCTCGATTTTGTTGACGGCAAATGTACCGGCGGCTAAGAAAATTGTCGTACATGGACCGACTGATGATGATTGCAATATACCATCTCAATTCCCGGTGCAAGAGGACACACTATTCTGTCAATTACTGAAGGAGGCTTTGGACTACTATCCCGTGGATGAGAAGAATTTAAATCATTACTGTCTGGTAGATTACAAAAGTAGTAAGTTCATGATTCGCTTTTACTTCGGCTGGCTCTACAGTACGCGGTAGCCGCATGAGTTCAGTTTCGATTTGATGACACGCGGATTTACGTAACCTTCAGGTCGCAGGGGAATCTAAATTGTAAAAAATTATTTTATATTTTTCATTCGATCACCCATTTTCGGGCTAATTAGAGCCTCCATATATATTTTTTCATATCTCATAGAACCAAATCTTTCCGGTATCCGGGACAGAGTCAACTACAGCCGAGTCTTGTTGATTAACTACTCTAAAAAAGCAGATTGCAACTAAACTATCTTAGAACCGTCTCTAAACTCTTCTTATATAAGTCATTAGGTTGTCTATACTCAACCTCGGGATCCCATGAGAAAGCTGGGTTTCAGAAAGTTCTATTTAGACTTCGATAGCTCAATTTGCAGAAAACTTCTAATATTACTACCGAGAACTTAGTATTATATATCATTGTACGATTAATACCAAGGAACTCCAGAACTCAATTTTTCTATAATGGGATTATTATCTCTGTAACATATGTACATGAGCCCAGAAGTACTTTTTCCTACCCATACATTAAAACAATTTTGATTTTCCAGATAAAATTCTCAATCCCAACTGGTACATACGCGACTTGTACTTCTTCAAGCGTTCGCAATATCCCGAAGTTCGATTGATACTCATGAAACCAGAGGATTCCTTCTTGGCATTGCAGAAGCAAGAGCTCACTAAGAAATTCGTCGAAATTGGTAAGGTGCATTTGACATGGGCCATTTTAAAGAATGTCGATATGGTGGTACAACGTGTCGTCTTCCTACATGAGGAGCTCATGAAGCTACCATCTTTTCCACGCAAAGCGCTCGAAGTGGATCTGGACTTACATCAGGGTGGCGAATATGGAGTGGTATACGCAATATATGGCATAATATTAATGAGAGTTGTTTCTAATGCTTTTCCGACCCCAAGGTGCTGCTGGGTCTGGACGTGTTGCACAAATTCATGTGGGTGCGCTTGATTGCGCGCATGTTCGAAGCGATGGCCGGCAATTTCGCCTACTCCGCCGACATACAACTATTCTTGAATGTACTTTCCGGGGCAGCTATACTGCATGCGGAGGATTCCTGCATTATGCGTTATGTCATGGCCACCTATATAAATGCTGCTTTCAATTTTAAGAATATATTTTCGACGAATGGTTATTTTATGATCATGCCGACTTTGTTGCAAGTATATTCGTTGCATCAGACTAATAAATTGATCACCACCACCATCGAGTATGCGGTAAAACAGTTCTATTTGCTTAACCGGAAACCATTCATTTTGCAAATGTTCGGTTCGGTATCGGCTATACTTGACACAGACGAAGACGGTACCTACGGTGAGGCGCACAAGGTAAGCTTGTGGGTTCGAAACTCAAACTTCAAGGTATTTGAATATTACCAGCGGACATGTAGACATAAGAAAAGTTGTACCTTTCTCCTCTAAAGATTGGATTGACCCAAACATGCACTCACTTCGCCTTTTTTCTTTCACAGGTACAATCGAGTTGCCTGTTTAACTTACTGCTAAGTTTAGAGGATCCTTCACCAGATCCATTAAATATCGCTGAGCTGGTTAAGGAGCCCAAGCCGCTAAAAGCCATTGACTTTTGCTATCACGATGAGGATGGTGACGTCACCGTACTGGATTGCATAACATTATGTGTCATGGTGGTTTCCTACTCCGCTGAGAGCACACGTGGCTACCAAATGCTGGTTTGAGACTCCTGTTTTACTCTACCACTGCAAATATCTAACAAACCATATTTCAGATCATTTTGGAGGCTATACTACCATGCTATTTACAACAAATACAATCTCCCAGCTACATACCGCTACAGGGTAAATCGGAACGTGACATTATTCTACAGCTGGCCGTCGCCATACGAACTATGGTGCATAATTGTGAGGGTTTAGCCAAGAGCTATAATGGTCCCTATCGTAATAGTCCAGAGCACAAGGGTTCGTCACAACGCAATTGCAGTCGCGGTCCACCGTGCTCACCCGGTTTGGACTTTGAGGAAGAGTCACATTCGAAATATGTAAATGATCCACGCACAAAGAACGTCGCCGATTCGGGTGAAGACTCCGAAATGATACGCACAGAGTATCGACGTCCACGTGACGTGCTGTTGTCAGTAGTCGGCGATTTTCTTAGCAAGTCCAGCACACGCTTGGTGGAATTGTCCAAAAAATTGCCGAACGACAACAAAGCGACCGAAGTGCTGGACGCCAAGTGTCATATGCGTTTGGCGGAGATTGCGCATTCGCTGTTGAAAGTCTCACCTTATGACCCAGAATCGATGGCATGCCGTGGTCTACAACGTTATATGCAAGCCATACTACCGCGCGCCGAGTGGTCGAATGATGCATTACGCAACTCATTAATCACGATACTGCGACGCGTGGACAAAGTATTTTTAAAAATCTCTAAGAAACCTTCGATTCGTCGCAATACGGATTGGGAGGCGGCAGCCGGCTTGCTTAAGGGTATACATGAGACCATCGTGCGGCATCCGTATGTGTTGCATTGGCAGCAAATGAAGACGCTCATAAGCACGGTGCAAAATCTGATCGTAAACGAGGGTACGAGCGCTGGTGAGGGTGTATCAAGCGCAGGTGCTGCTCTTATGTCTCAGAATCCTCCAGCCTTCTTTTGTTCGACAGTGGTGCGTTTGGTAGCGCTACAAGTGGTCAGCCCCGTGGATTGTTTCTCATTAGTGCAGATATGTGGTGGCAGCGAATTTGCTACGCAAGAGAAGGCCGAAGGTTTTCTAATGCATCTGATTATGCCACTGTGCTTGAAGGTGTGTTCGGGACGCGGCGTCTCCGACATTGGCGAACTAAAAATGACAGATGTCTCATTTCTGCTGACCGTTGTACTGAATGCTATGAGCCCGCCGGCCGGTCGCACGGGGCAAGCAGTTATACAAACCAATCGTGTAGGCGGCGATTTACGCGCTGGGTCGTTGACCTTTACTGGCAGTCGTGATGCCAAGCGACCGGCACGCATCTCGGGATCGCTCTATCAGGCGGCCTTTTTAGCATTACGTATTGTATGCATTTGCTTCGAGAATCGCTTGTCGAATGAGTGGCCGCGCATTGTGCGTGTAATGCGCGATCTGGGACGACGAAATGAAGCAGCGCCGGATTTGTGGAGTTTCCTCGAATTTGTTGTGACGCACCGGACACCCTTGTACATCGCCTTAATGTCTTTCATTTTGCATAAAGTAAGTTCAGATCTGAGAACGCTCATTGATATTTTTCCATTACTGCTACTAATTTCCAATGCTCTAAAACCATAGATTTCACAACCACCGATTGGCGATCACGAACGACATATGCAATTCTTGATAAGAGAACGTCTACGCGGCACACCACCTCCGGGCGGTATCAAGTCAAAGGGTGCCCTTTTGCTGGAACTTGCCCGAGAGCTGAAGGATCTGAGAGATGAACTCGAGGAAAAACGTTATGGTAAGCCTAAAGTTATGATACGATTGAACACAACTTGAAGTGTCGCTCGTGTTGCAGATCGCGAGTGCTCGGATCAAAAGAAAACGGACACACCGGCCGCAACTAGCGCTGGCGAGACGCATAGAGGGCAACAACGTCCTTCACTGATATCCATATTCACCGGTACCACCACCGGTCAGGCCACGCACTCACATGTCTCTGCCGTGCCAATTGACTCACGCAGCGGCTCCGGTGGCATTTGTACACCCAGTGACACGCTCTCCCAACAAACACTACATCCGCCCAGAGAATCTTTGTCGAGTAGCTCCACAGGACGCGAACATCACACCAGCGAAAGTCAGAGTGGTGAGAATGCCGCCGGTTCTGCGCCAACACTGGTGGGCGCCACCGGCACTGTAACCACAGGCTCAAATCATGGCACCAGCTCTGCAACCATTGCTTCTGCGCTGCCACCAAATGTTGTGTCTCAACTCTCGCACTCCCAGTCCTTGCAACAGGCGCCATTTAAAGCACAACCACCCAAATTACGTTTCGTATCATCGGTGGAGTTCAGACATTCCTCTGGTGAGACGTCCACTACACCGCTATCGCCCGAGAGTCCGGCCGAAGATAGTTCCGGTGATCATACGCGTTCACGTTTACAGCGCTCAAAAGCGTCGAGTCGTAAAACGTTTAGGTTACGGCGTAGCCGTCTAACACCAATGGAACCGCCAAGTATTGTAAGTAAAGTTCTTTAGGGTTATGCTTTTGTGAGTTTAACGCTTTTCATCTTTAGGTAACGCAAATATCACAGGAAGAGCACCCGAAAACAATTGGCGAGATATCGTGGGACTCGGTATCGCAAACTTCATCCACATCCGGTTATCGCGATAACAATAGCTTGCAGACCGGCTTGCTCTCACCCGATGGTTCGCTTGGTGGCATGACACTGGGACGCTCACCTTCGCAGCACTCTTTGCTAATGGTATTCGAGGGGCATGATGAGGACACGCTTATTTAACAATCACAGTCCAGCCCGACGCAGACTGGGGAGTGATGCGTGCGTTCGAGCAGTTACACTGCTAAGCTATAAAAGAAATTGTTGTAGTTCTTCGTCGGATGCGTTGATATCATACTCACAATTGCAAATAATTTGTTAACAGTACTCTCAAGTACAATGCAAGCAAATATAATTTATACAAATTAAACTTTTTTAATAAATTGTAGTAGGTAAAAATTGTATTAATGTATTGTAGTGTTGACATAATATCCAATCTAAAATTATTGCTATTAAAATGTGCCAACTGAATGAAGTAAAATTGCTCATTTTTCTATTACGTGGTCGGATTCAATTTGTTAGCAGCCGCTTTGGCGCGATTCTGTTTCACAATCTTACGCCATTCCAACCATTTGGCGACATCGGGATTATCTGCATTACCACGCTCTTCCAGTTGCAAATAATAGGCTTCACGTAAAATCTTAAAAACTTGCATGCTGTAGTACGGCTGTTGGGTGACGGGGTCAAAGTAGCGCGCTGGTAATCTATGTATCAAAATATATTTCTTTAGTACATCAAAATATTTAGCAATTATGAATTGTACGCACTTGGTGATTGGACACAAATAACCGGAATGATTATTTAAACGTTTCGGTTTGAAAACGGACTGAAACACTTTGTCATTAAGATCGTTTTCGAGTGTTATAAAAGTGCGTTCACACTTCGCAGACGTATCTGCGACATCGCCAACGCCAGTTGCGCCCCTAGTAGGCTTACGCACTACGGGCATGGTCATGGAGTGATAGCGTATCATCGGACCAGTGTGTACACGTTTTGTGGGGCGTGTCTTTTTCTTCTCCAGCTCCATTTTTTGAAACTTCTCTATAAAAATAAATACGTTGTTTAATAAAATGCAATTTATATAAATCAAAGTATTTTATTTTGTATTTCATTGGTTTTGCTATATCTTACCCAGTGATTTTTTATTTTCCTCTTCAGTTATTTTTGCTTCTTCAAGCAATTCTTCCTGTGTAGGCATGTAATCGTCTACCCTTCTCACACGACGCTTCTTCTTGCGTGCATCATCCATTTCCTTCAAACGTATTTTGGTTGCTTGTGTTTTAAAAGCGGTTGAAGCGCGTATAGATTTTCGACCCGAATCTATGACAGTGAACTTAGGTCGCGGTCGTCTTACTATTTTTCCTGCTTTTCTTTTCGGTGTTGGAGCCACATCTTTTTTAACCACTGGTTTGGGTTCCTAAAATCGGAAAACCACTGAAAATTTGTACAGGCAAAACCTATTAATATATTTACTTTGTAAGCTTTTGTGTTGACACCGCCACGTTTGCGCTTCTTCTCCGGAGCATCTTCTGTATCAGATACGGGTTCATCATTTTCATCAATACTAAAATCAGAGTCCACCACATCTTCCTCCTCCTCTTTTTGCCTACGAAGCATATGTTTTGTAAATATTAATTGTTAAAATATTTGTAAGTATATCAAACTTACACATATTCTTTGTCTTCCTCTTCGTCCTGAAAGCCGCCATAGGATGTCTTATAGAATTCATCTTCCTCCTCCTCGTTCAAAAGTTTCGCTATTTTGTTGCCGGCATTTGAACGGCGTGAACGAGTTGCAGCCATGGCAATCAATTTTAAGTTGTTTAATTATCTTAAATTGCGCACTATTTTTAAAATTTAGGAAAAACAATCAACGATTCCCGAAAATATGCGAGACATTTTTGTTTACAAACAGCTGCTATTGAGGAACGTTGCCTTACATTAGTTTAAAGAGATGGATTAAAAACTTACCGGTATCACGTATTTATCGGCTTCTTCTTATTCTTATAAATAACGAAATATCTTTCCTTAGTTACTTTCTTATTTTTTTATATATTTTTGAACTGAATAGCAAAGGAATAATATTATGTTTAAATACTTATTGACTAAGAGAAGAACGTATAAATTTTAATTTTATTATTTAGATTCTCTGCCTAGCCTAAATAAAACGGTGGCAACACCGTTGTAAAAATAAACAAATATCAAAGCCGGTAGGAAAATATTAATTTTTAATCTTTTATTTCATTTTACTCTTTATTTATTATTACTTCTTAAACTAAGATTACAAATTATCCTGTATTATATGTGAAATATACAAGCAAAAATCCGTATTAGGACAAACTCAGTTTAAGACCGCAATGATTTGTTATGATTTGTTGTTGTTATTTATATATGAATGTCATATGTTTGCATATTAAAAGCAAAAGAGCTGTCAAAATAAAAAGTTGATGATGTTCATCAATTGTTATTTGAAGCAAAGCACGTTGTAATTGTTTACTTCTGTAAATTGCGGTATTTAGCAATCAATTCCGAACGTTTAAAAGCTATTTTGAAAGAAAATCCAAACACTAAAATGTGTATGGTTCACAATACAAAGTGCATAAACGTTTGAGGCTGTCAATAATTCCATATTTGCATTGGAGAGCGCAGCGTGAGACACATTGTATTCTGCTAAAAGTTCGTTAAGAAGTATTACAATATATTCCATTTCAACATGGCAACTGGTACACAGAAGGTTAGTGCACAAATGCATTTTAATATGTGCGTACAAAGTACTACATCAGCCCTTTGGGCACACGTCATCGCTATAAAAATATTGACAAACAAATCAAAACAAATGGTTTAATCTATTGTTTTACAAAATATTTTCCCATAGGCTGTACGGCTGCTGAAATGCTTTTGTGGTTGCTCGGAAATGACGGAGGATGAAGTCCGACGTATTTATCGCTTAAGTACACAAGAGACTTTAAATGACACCCGGGCCGCAAAGATTTTCCGCAAGTTCTTAGAACAAGATCGTTGTGGAGATAAAAAAGAAATTGAAAATTACTTGGACATTTACGAGCTGTGCAATAACTATTTAAAAGAGAGTTGTCTAACATATGATCAATTAACTGCCCTCGTCGAAATGGAATTAAAATACTATTTAGAGAAGAAAGTGAATTTGTACATAATGATGCTGGAAGAAAAACAAAAGCCGGATATACACATACATGAAGTAGAACGTGATTTGAAGCGAATTCAAGCGGATTATCGTAGTGAAATCGAAGCCAGCGATGACTACAAAAATTACAAACAAGCGATATTAAATAAATTGAAGCGAGGGACTTGAAACTCGAGGATGAGGCAGAAGCGAAAACAACGAGAGTTTTAACAAAGCTCAACTGCCACAAATATTTGCTTTCTTACATCCTAACATATGTAATTATTATAAAATATTTATTTGCCTCAAGTACTTTACCAAAAAACATCACGTTTTATAGTTGCGATTCCTATTATATGTTGTTGATTGAAGACAAATCACAAATTTTTTGTTACAATTATATTTCTTTAAAACGTGTCTATTATATAGAGTACTGTAAAAGTATTGTGTATTGTATTGTATTTTTTTGCCATATTCTGCGTTATTTGTAAAATATTAAGCAGGTAATATGGTGTTCAATGTGCTTAATTATACACTTAGATATTTTAAAGTAAAATAAAATAAATTAAATTTTTTGCACACAACGCTTGCCGGTTATATAATTTATTTAGTTTTACATCATACATTTAATATTAAATTAGTAAACAAGGCTCACGCTTTAGGCACGAACTTGTTATAATATTTCTTTCCAAAAATACACTCAATATGCTGAAATGAATAAAATGGGATATGATGCCACTTGTTTCAAAAGAACTTGTCTTAGTATAAGTGCAAGCCTTCGAATATGCAGCAACTTAGGATTTCTTCCACGAATAGTACATCTCCATTGGTTTATTAACCTGAAATGTTATGCAAGAAATAAGTACTTTTGTTAAGATTTAGCGTTGCAATTTAATAACTACTTTCGATACCTTCCAGAACTTGTCATTTACTTGATGTAACGTCTGATTACCATTCAATATGACCAGTTGCTGGGGTTGCGGAGCTATGTAAATACAAAAATTCAGCATACGATAGGCTTCTGGAAGTTCTGCGCCTAAGTCCAGAGTCAGACGCATGGCTAAATACTGGCTCAGATGATCCACTGCAAAATTTAGATATTTCAATTAAAGTACATAAAACAATAAAAAAAATGGTGTGCTTTGTACCTGTCGCGTTAGCTGTGGTTTTTATATAGCGTATGCAGTTTTCTTTTAAAGCTTTCATTAACTGATTATCACCAGCCATTTCAGTCGGATGTGGTTTAAATACCAATTCTATTTCATCATTTATGCCAAGCTCGCCGGTACCTTCACCCTCTGTATCAATATTGGAGTCGCCCTCGGTGCGGCAATCCATCTGTGAATCAGATTCCGACTCCTCAGATCTTTCTGATGTCAGCACAGACATTGCACGCTTCGGTTTCGAACTGCTCGAGTTCGACGGTACCGGTGATGGTGTACTACGCATGGACGGTGGATTAGATCCACCGTCATCATGTTGCATTCGACTAGTGCTGGCACTGCTGCCTGACGCTGATGCGGCTGCCGCCGAAGTGCTGGAATGTGTTGACGGAGCAGCTGCTGTAGGTTGTGGTGCATTTCCACTTTCCCTATTATCACTATCATTGCCATTTGTAGCACTTTCATTATTCGAATTATTCGCATTGGCAGAATTGTGATTTCCATTGCCATTGCCGCCGCCATTACGGCCACCACAGCCTTTGGCACGAAAACGTTGTGGCCGATTTTGCGATTGTAATTTAATGCCTTCATTTATGGAGTTAACTAATGCCTGCTGAGATTGAGTTTGGTTAAATTTTGCCATGACCTTTTCTTGTATGGCTTCGTACTCCTCACGACTGGGATAAATTTTCGATATTAGAAGATCGAAATTTGGGTCCGGTCGTAGTGATCGCTTTGACACAAGTTTTTTGCGGCAAGTGGGACATTCTTTGTTGCCCGACCGCAAAGCGGTGATAATGCAATCTGAACAGAAACGATGTAAACACTCCTTGGTTGTCATCGTCTTTTTTAGCATATCCAAACAAATAGGACACATCAATTCACTGTGTAGACTTCTAGGTGAGACTGCAATCTCAGTATTGTCAGTGATGATTTCCTGCGGATTGCGTTGTAGCTCGTATAAAGATAAATCCCATGTTTTATTCTGT